GCGGGACCCCCGTACCCCTCCCCTGGGAGCCTCTTCCCGACAGTTTTTCTTCCCCGCCGCGCCTCTGTTTGCAGATGTGAAGTGGACGGATTTCACGCAGGGCGTGATGGTGCCGGAGAGACCCCCGGAGCCCGACTGCAAGAGCCGGGGCCAGGGTGAGCCTCGGGCGCCCCCCCTACCTCCCACTCCCCCGAGCTATGCTCCCCTGACACCCCTCAACCTCTGACGCTCACCAACCTCTAACACCCCTTAACTTCTGACACCACTCCATTCTTTCCCTTTCACTTCCTTTGAAGAGCGATGCAGATGCAAAAAGACGAAGCCTACACTGTCGACCTACCTGGCCAAGAACTACAGTTACAGTAAGTTACTCACTTTGCCTATCCTGCCCTCTCCGTGCCCCCTGTGAGTTAGGCAGCTCTATGTGGGTGCTGCACCCACACCAGATCCCGTCCAGCAAGTGTGGCGTGAGGGTACCACTCCACTCTGGCCTTTCCTAGTGGGTTTTTATCCTAGGGCACCAAACTGTTCTCATCTGAAACACACCACTTGTGGGCACCTCCTTACTAGTCATTGCGCAGATAACAGCATGTTTCTGATAAAAGCAGTGAAATGTTGTTAATGTGCACTGGGATCGATCAGCAGGTCTCTCTGCAGAAGCGGTGCTTGCAGCTGTAAAGGTCACTCTGTTGAGGGCAATTGCAACAAATGTGAGTGTGAGCATGTGCTTCTTGGCCAACTGCTGTTTTCATCTAGCAGGTGGAATAAAGAGAGGTTTATCCCTTAGATAAAACTTGGAAATGTGAATGAAGCTGAAGCAAGGTAAAAAGTTATTACTTACAAATGTGCATATTCTTTTACTTGCTAGCCAGAGTTTCATCTGGTGTGGAATTGTCAGAGATTAGCTGAATTCCATGGCAATTTGCACCAGCCAGACGAGTAGTAGGCTGATAGTTTTGTGATATGTTGCATGCTATATTGGCAATATAAGTAGTTATTAATCCCTCTTCCACCCTGGCTCTCCCCCGCTCTGGCTTTGTGATTCTGGGAGTCAGGAAGAAGTCTAATTAAGATTAGATAAATACCAGGTTTAGTATCTATAATGTCAATTGAATACTCCTATTAGTTATGAATTTAACATGCAATACTATGGTCTTTTGTACTTTATGGGCTTTTTCTGATATATAAGTTGTTTCTTCAAGGGACTAATTAAGTTCTTACGCAATAGTGTTATTATATCCTGTCAATTCCTATTTGTCTGATATCAAATTAAAGTAAGTTTGTAGTTAATTGTTTCTTTGTTAGTATAGAGAAAAAAATCCAAACGGCAGTTTGGTGGGAGTAATCAAGCTAAACATCTAACTTAGGAATTTCTACACCTCTTTTGTTATGGCATTTTGGTGCATTTATATCATATATTCTTTTATGCAATGCCTTAATCTATCTCGGTACAACATAGTGATATGTTGAGGTGGGACAATGAACTTACACACTTGCCCAAAATATATTAAAAAGCAGTGATATAAAATGACTATTCTTAAATGAAATACAGGTATTAGTCATATAAATTCTGATTCCAGTGACTTTAGTGGGAGTGTTGCTTGTGGTCCAAAATTTAATTCTGCTGAATTTGTGAAATCAAGGTTTTGTTTTTAAGAGGTAGATTTTTATTCAGTCTCCTCTGAAATAAATAGAAATGCTCATATGGAAAATTAATTGAGAGACAAGACAAGGCAAAACAAGTTGCAAACAAAATCCAAATTTTTCTGAAATCCTTTAAAATAATATTTACAGCCAAATTGTATTTCCAGCTGCTCAGAACTTGAAATTGGATTGTGAGTCTCTGGAACAGAAATCTCTCATGTGTTTTGTGACTGCTACACATGTCCTAACAAAGTTAGCACATAAATCCCAGGCTGCATTAAGATTGCTGGTCTCCTGTTTTCTACATGTGAAATTTATTCCAGACATCTGTAGGTCCATTTGAAGACTTTTGACCCAGTGGCTGCCAAGGGCAGGGCTGCTGCAGGCTGATGACCCTGTGGGACATACACATGCTGCTCATGCTTCACAGAGCAATTTTGTGATAGTAGAACCCTTCTTATCCTGACATGTCCTAGAGACAAAGTCCTTGGTGTAAAAATGGTGTTATGTTTCTCTGATTTGGTATTTCTGACAAGAGAGAGCGGATGAAATGCTGCAGTGGTTGATACTGCCAGTGTTAGCAGGTGCAAAGTTAGCCAGAGATTATCCTCAGAGCAATGTACACAGTTTCTTCTTGCATCTATGCAGACATGCAATTTTCCTCAATAAAAGGTAAAAATATGAGTGTCTGTGTATGCAGAGTCAGAAGAACCGTTTTCAAAGTCTTATTTTATATGAGGATGTTACTACTGATGCATATTCCAAAGGCAAAAAATGAAAAAAGTGTAAACCAGGTAAATCACAAAAACCCTAAGCCTCTTAGTTTTTGATGACTTGTTTTAAACCTTCCTTTCTTTCTTATATTTAAGAGAAGACTTTAGTTCCTGGATGCAACCTACAAGGAAATTACTATATTACTGAAAAAGCTGGATTCATACTAACTGCCTGTGAGGTAAATTATTAATTACTGAATTGGAAATAGCCAGATGTGGCTATAGAACAGGTCCAATTTATGCCAGGCATTGTTCAAATCTGAGTCAAAGGAGCTGTTTGTGTGTGCGATTCCAGGTGAGATCACTTGGCCTGATCTCGCAAAGATTTAAGCACATGTTTAATTTCACAGTTGTCAACAGTCCTACTGAAAACCAAATCGGGATCAGGCCTCTGTTATTCTAAGCCACTGTATGTGCCCACACATGAAGATGTAGTTCTAGTTTCACAACCAAAACAACAGCTTTCCATTTTATGTGTTTTATTAAAAGTTAAGATGTGTTTAGATTTCTAAGACTGACGTTCTCACACCTCTGTTTTTCTAATTGCAGTCATTCATGCTAAAGTAAAAAGCGTAGAAAGAGGGAACTGCAACGAGATAACGACTGTGGTTGAAGTCAAAGACATCCTCAAGTCTTCGATGCCAATTCCTCTTTCTCAAGTGCCTCTTCTTACAAATTCCTCGTGCCAGTGTCCACCTCTTCAACCAAAACAGGATGTTCTCATCATGTGCTATGAATGGCGCTCAAGGTGAGCCCTGGTGATGCAGTGCAGAAAAGTGTTGTAACTGACTGTGGTAGGCAGGAAGGAGGACCAGCAAAGCTCTCTTGCTGGTCACGAGCGCGTTCTGTGAGTTATAGTTAATATTACACCACTGATAGTTTTTCTTAAGATAACCCACATGTACTCCTATGTGTTTCGGTTACCTTTGCAATTAACTTTTTCTGCTTCATCAGCCTCAGCTCTGCACTACGATGTGGTGTTTACAAAACCTGGCTCACACATGGAGCATAAACTGTGGTGGCATAAGGTGCTGACAGCATATTGCTTAATGCATCGTGAAGCACTTCAGGCATTTCCAGCTGTTCGGGAGTGTTTTTCTAGGGCCACTTGCCATAGGTATGAGCTGCTTTGTGTGCTACAAGCCTGATGGAGGCTGTAGTTGGCATAGTTGTGCCTCATGGACCCCAGCAGAGGGGACAGGAGATATTACATCTCTCCTGTCTGCAGAGCTGCTGGAGTCAGAGCCAGGCCTTCTCCGCCTGCCTGTCCATACTTTGGAGCGGTGCCATCAGTGAGAAGTTTCTGATCCCACAGCTGTACGGGAACCAGCCAAATCTGCAGCCATTGGAGCTCCAGCTCCCAGATGGCAGATGAAAAGTAAATACTCTGAGAGCAGCTTGCCAGTCCTGCTATATGATTAAAAGACAAAACAAAACTTACTTTACCAGACCTCTCATCTGGCAGTCAGCCTAGCCCCAGGCATGGAAGGAAACCTGGCATGCTGGCCTGGAGGGGGAAACTGGTGAATCACAACTCCCTTTTCTCTCTGGGTCCTTGAGGCAGAAGGAGACATCCCAATCCTGTTAGCACCCCGAGTGTACCAGTAGCAACAGGGGCTAACAGGACAGGCTGTGGTGTGGTAGGTACGTGTGCCTGTGTGCTGTGGGTGAGGTAAGGCTGTTTGTAAAATGTGCAGGTTGGTCTTGCATGCAGTGATGTGACTGTTAGTTGAACGTGTACACTTGTAAAGACCATAAAACATCTACGTGCAGAACTTAGTGGGCCATATCATGTTGATACTTTAAAAGCATTTTATAGGTGTTTCTGAAAGTTGCCACCTGATACCTCACTACCTTAACTTTTTTGTGTGTGGGCTAACAGACACAGTATTTTACTATTACACAGCATCTTGCACTTCCAGGTCTGAAAGTATTTCACAAAGATTAATTTAGAGCCCTCCACTTGTGTTAGCCATTTTAGGGATACATGTTTTAAGTCATGCAGAAAGGACCACAATCGAGGTTGCGATCGAAAAGCTCTGAGCTGCAGAGCTTTGTTGGAGCGGATCCTCAGGGAGTGGAGATTTCAAAAGGGAAAGGCTGCAATCTGCGTCTCCATTACTATGGAAAAACACACCATGCACTAAATATTTTGTGATGGTTTTTAAAGGTCACTGAGGTTTTTAATTTCATATAGTGTACTAAAGTGGATTTGAAAAAGAAACAAAAACTATTATATGCGTTTCCTGTTGAGCTCAGTGGCATGCAAACAGAAGGTTTTGAGTTACAGTAGCTTTTTAAAATATCAGAGGGAAAATGGGTGGGAGCTGTAGCTCCACTGAAGTCAATGGCAAAACACCCATTGCCCATTGCAGGGTTAGAGTCTCACTCAGTAGTTTGACATGAACAGAAGCTACATCAGATGTGTACCAGGTTGCAGTTTCATTCATCATGATGTGGCCTTAGCTTTAGCCCTGTGTTTTAGTTCTCCAGTCTCTCCTTGAAAAGAAACAGCTATGTGGATCATGTTGGTCCAGGGCTTGCACTCACTACAGTGTGGGCAAAGTGGATGGACAGTGGCTAGCAGCTACAAGAGACAGCATTTTGTACTCCTTTTGAACTGGTATAAGCAGCACAATTTTTAAAATTCTCAGAAGTAAAATACGTTAATTTGAACTGCTGTTCTGCACATATGCACACACACACACGTATATAGTGGGCATAAGTAAAAATAAATGTACGTACACATCCAAACAGTTCCATGGGATGTTACCCAACCCATCACTTTTTGTTAATAGTGATCAAGATAGGACAATTTTCCCCTGTAGAATAGCTGCAGGTGAATACAAAGGGCTCTAGATGTTTTCTCAGTACCAGCCAGGTACTGCAGTTTTGGCTATAAAATCCAATTTCTTTTGAAAACTATTTTCTTTTTTTTATGGAGTTTAGAATAGAATTTCAGAAGGATCAGTATAAGCATTTAAAAATCCATTAGAAAGCATTTAGGGATGGAGAAAAATATTTTTCTGCCTATCATCCCATATACAGAAACTGTCAGTACCTGCTAGTGCATTTCAACCTCAGTCTGTGTTAAATCATCCAGAGTGACGTCTCAGGAATCAAACTCAGAAACACTTGTAACTTGTATTTATTTCTTAATTTTTAGGTTGATGCTTCTTGATGGATGTCTAGTTGAAAAATGGAAGGATCAGCTGAACAAAAGGTTTAAGGTAAATACAGCCAAAGACAAGAATGCTGATATTCTTGATAAAAAGTTAAACACCTTTGTTCTACTTCAGCATTGAAGAACTTACTTGACTTTCAGATATCCATAACACCTCTGGGTATTGTTATTTTCATGTCATCTTTTTCATACCTCATAACTACATATAAGTGTAAGTGAAAATTTGAAAATTGTCCCCTTGCATTTTAGGGTCTCTCAAATTTTATTTCTGTTTTATCAGCAAACTGTCCCTAAATAGGGTGGTTGTATTATCTTTGTGTGAACTCTGGCTTATTACAGTAATGGCTCTGGGAATTCCTTTCCTATCACTGCTAAGGCAAGTAACTTTCAGATAGGTGATATGCAGATGAATATATAGTCCACAGTAGGTTAGAAAGAAAGTTGACATCCATTGTACTGCATAAATGGGCTTTGCTGAATTAAAATTTGTAGGCCTGAGACACAGAGCCTCGCCAGCTGCTTACCACTAAAGACCCACTGAAAGTATTGGACATCCCCTCACTGGTTTCAGGGAACATTGGAAGGAAAAATCTCTAGTACAGGGACCTGGGAGGCAGGAGCAGCAGATGCCCCTGTTTCTCGAGGCTTCAGGATAGCTCTTGCTATCACTCCCTGCTTCTAAACTGCTCTTTAAAATGGAAAGAAAGGGTGGATTAAGACAATATCTAACTCTTCCTCACACTTTTAGAGATGTAATTAAATTATTTCTGCAGTTCAGGAAAGATTTCAGAGCATTAAGGACATGCATGTGTATTTGTTCCAATTATGGGCTGACTGGCAGTTGATAGAGAGGAGGAAAAAAGGTGCATGTTTCCATCGGTAGAAACTTTTAGATTGCAGAGCAAGTTGCAGGAAGTTGTATTTGATACTTTCATCATTCCCCTTTCTCCTCACATACTCATGTAAAACCTACATGTGAAAAAGAAAACATGCTTTAAATCTTTAGAAAATAAATATATTGTAATTGCAGTTGATGCCGTATGGGATTTAGGAGAGTACTGATGTATGACTCAGACTCTTGAAATCCCTTAGCTCTCAACTTAATGACCTGTTACTGGCACACAGTGTGTTTTAGTGGTCTCCTCACACAATCTTGTTATTTCTAATTGTGTCTTTAAACCTGTTTGGACATTCATTTCCAGACTGTCAAATAGAGGCATGAGTGCCAAACAACTAAATACTTCTCAAATCATGTGTCATTCTTTCTATAATAATAGTAACATAAATTAAATCTGCTTTTAAACATGTTTGAGTGAGATACACCTAAATGCCTGCAGATAGTTTTTGTTTCATAAAGATGCATGTAATGACCCTGACTATGCAATTATGGCCAGTATGGAGCTAGGTATCACAGTGGATTCTTTTTAATGCCCATCATTCATCTCTGAAGACTCGCATCCAACTTTAGTCTTGAGTTACCACTTAAAATGAATGTTTTGAGCTGTCCGTAGACCACAGAAGACATCTGTTAACATAACCACAACATGGCTGGTCTCCTCTCTAGCCAGACAGGAGTCAGTAGCAACAGGGTCAGCACAGAGATACCGAAGAGTAAAGCTGGAGAGCACTTCTCTTGCTTTGATCACTGGTCAAAATCCCTGCCTTTGGGAATTTCAGAAGAGAAGGTTCATTAATAGAGGGTAAAGGTGAGACCCCTTCCAGGTTCTTACTTTCCTTAAAAGAAGTGTTTCTGTTCCTAGAGGAAAGACTGCAGTCTCTGCTGCAGTGGACCACCTAACCACTTAACCTCACTGTAAAAATCTGTTTTCTAACTGCTGCACTTCTGGGTTTGGAAATCTGACAGCTATTCTTTTTGGTGGACTCATTGATCTAATTGCATTTCAAAATTTCTCGGGAATGCTGCTGAATAAAGCTGTGGATGCATTATTCACAGCTGCCCCATTGCAACTCCAAACACACTGTGATTTCAGTAGTCACCTCTGTTGTCTGCCTGTAACATACGCTCTTTTATGCCCAGTCCTCTCCACCCCAGGGAAATGCAGAACCAGAAAGTAAATACCACATTCCCTTGTAGCTGTGTGTTTAAACATATATTGTGAAAGGATTGCCTCCTTTCTGTGGACTTTTCTGAGGAAAATTCAAGTAGCATGCTCAGTAAGACAGCAAAGAGTGAGTTTGCAAAGGAGTCTCAGTGTGCAGACTCTGTCTTTATGACGGTATGGTGCCAGCTTCCCTGGACTTCTGAAAAGGTGTGAGATGCGCACTGGCATGCAGTGTGCACACAAAATGTGCAGTTGTCATGTTCATCAACTGGTGTCATGGAAATTCCCCCACCCAAGAACACATGGGGGTTTCTGCTGCAGTCCGCCGTAATGCGCTGAGATCGATGGCCCTGCAGGACAGAGCACAAAACCATTAAGAGCAGTGCTGCTACCAGTGGTTCAGGATAGCTTTGATTAAGGCACAATTGTTTATGATCATGTCCTTCCCTAACTCTGACTCTTCGTTATTCGCACTTCCACAGAGGTGGGAACAGAGACTGCAAGAACAGAAGCTGCGAACGGCCCACAGTAAGAACCAGAATGCAGGACGCAGTGGTCGGAGTGGAGCCCCAAAACCGTCAACCAAGAACACCAGTCCCCTGGTCAGTGGCCCCAAAAAGACCATGAAAATAAGAAATGGCCAGAAAGAAGTCAATCCTAAAAGAGTATGAGTGTGAAATTTCCAAAAGGAAAGACTTTCCCTGCACGATGAGGGTCACAATCTGTCTTGGTTGGCACATTTTATTAATCCAGAACTCATCGACTTAAAAAACTCACAGCAGTTTCTACATAGACTTGTTTGCTGCACTTTACTTTTACAAGGTTTGCTTTTCCTTTCAAGCCACCGCAAGCCATAGAGTGTAGGTTTGCACTAATATGTGGTAGGCATATTCAAGCTGACTGAGCTTTATCTTAGGGCTCTGATTTGCAATTCTGGACAGGTCCAGCCTTGGCTGCCAGAGGTTTTAACTCCTTGTGCTGGTTACCTGCCCTGCCAGAGTTTGGAGAGTTGTATGAGGCATCTCCTCTCTCCTCAGAAAGTGCACTTTGTAGTTGGTATAGTAGCTGACCAGTTGGTTAGTCTGTGAGTTAGGCTGGTGAGCTGAGAACCGTGGCAACAGAGGAATGGTAACCTCTGGCGCACATCTGGGGCAGCAACTACTGCAGCTTCTGGAGCTTAATCTATTTGCTGTTCGGAATCACAGGCCTTGTTCAGAGCATTCAAAAGCCTAGTTTACCAATGAGCATCTGGGCATACATTGTGTGATTATTTTTATGTGTGTGCCAAAAATATGCTTAGAGTGTTAGTATTTGATCTTGTGCGTTTGTGTAGCAAAAATGCATTGAAAACAGACATTTAATTTTTTATTGTACTTCAGACTGGCTTCTGTTGTTATAATTTCAAATATATTTAAGCATCTAATTGAAAAATCAGTATTTTTTAAAATTCTTAAAAGTAACATGCTTGCTGTAATATAGCTTTGTTATGAAAACTGGAATAGAAGCATTATTCTAAATATAACTGACAGCTACTGTACAGTATTAAGGAGAAGATAGGGCTTTATGTGGCTCAGTGTTCTTTTGGATAATTTTTTTATCATTTGGCACCATATTTCTAAAACTTTCTCTGATGACAAATAAATAAATAAATAACTATATAAATAAGGCTTGTCTCTATTCATGAACTTCTCAAAACAACTGGCTATCTGCAATTTCACTGATCAGAAGGTAACAATTACCCTGCATAGGGTCACAGACAAAGCGGATGCTCTTGTTTATGTACTACGTTTTACTGACTTAACATTTGCTGTGTGAGGTATTAAAATAGAAAAGGTGACAGAAATCTAATCGGCATAGCTCCAAGATGGCATTTATGCTATTCCTGCCCAAGCTGTACTTGGATGAGGCAGTGTGGATAGCACAGTCTGATTTCTAACACGTAAGATCACCTACATGTACATTGTAGAAGCTCCTGATAGACATCTGAAAGTCCTTCAAGAATTCCTACAGCAAAACTAGGGACTAGACTTGGCAATTCTGGTATCTGTAAAACAAAAGGAGCATTTCTAAAATAGAGAGAGTCTGTGTCAGAAAAAAAATAAGGAGGAGTTCTGTGTAGGTTAACATAAGGAGGTACAATTGGTCTTGTCAGTATATTGATCTTTGTCATTACAAATTTCTAATGAAATTTGCATGCATGAAATTCAGGGCAGAATGTGCTGGAGTGATTTTGGTAGCAGCAGTAATATATTTGGTAATATGCTAGCACAAAACCAAAGACATAGATGCCAAGTTAGAATACTTACACAAAAGGGATAGAGCTAATACAGAAAAATTGAATAATAGCATATGAGGAAGTTTAAGGGAAGAAAAAACCCTAACCCTACATGGTCATGGGTTAAGTTTGAGCTGTTGGCTAAAATATGCAAAGGTCATCTTCTGAATGTAGCTCTTCCTGCTAATTCTGGGCAGATGCACAGCTTTTATCTCCATGGAACATCTGCAGAATTGGATCCAAAATTCAATCCAAGTGCCAGGAATGCTGAACATATGTTACATCTATTGTCCTTAGTGGGAATTATGTGTGTTTGATATGTCTAAAAAACAGACTACAAATTTAGGTGCCTAAATACAGACTGTAGGTGAGATTTTAATCCTGTACAATGAAATGGAAAAACTGAAATGGAAATCAAAGGAGATAGAATATCACTACAGTTGACTAAATTATGTGAGCTTGAAAATGTGGACTTAAGAAAGCATGACCTAAAAGATCCATATGATTGGAAAGCTTCTAAAATAGATTTTTAACATGTAACAAGAGTTCTTAAACTTTGATTACCTACTGATTGCAATTTAAAGTACCCCAATAAGTATGTATAAAGGTAGTTATTAAAAATGACTGACAGTCCTATCAACATGATGTTGAAATAATAAATACCAAAGTTGTGGTATTTCACTTCAACATGTTTTATTGTGAACATTGTCACATGTTTTTTGAATGAAAATTTTGGAACAACTAGCTAGACTTCATAGCAACATTACATATTGTTTTACAACTATTAAAATCACACTTTTTTTCATTTTTTGATATCAGAGAAAAAAATGTGAAAAATATTTTCTCCAGAGAATTGTCACCATTCCTTCTGTAAGTTACTGTCATTAGACTGAGCATTCTACTATGTTGGAATAAATGATGCACCAAGCCCAGTGTTTCCAAACTCCTTGGCATTTTTATGTATGGTTTATGCTGACTAACTTTCATTTTGATATGGTAAAAATACAAAGCAGGGGATATCATAGTATAAAGAACAGGAGTGTGGACAGAGGGGATGAACTAGTAAGGTAGTGTTTTTTCCCAGATCCAGTTTTTCTACTTTTAAAGAAGCCATGGTTGAACCCAATTCAACTCTAATGTAACACTCTGTCTTGAAAATCCCTTACAATTATTAACTCACTGCAACATCAAACACTGGCTGAATCCAGACCCAGAGCATCCCCGCCCTCCAGCCTGCTGCCCTTCCCTTGCGAAGGCACAAAGGAGATGTTGGAGCAGCAAGGGCTGTTAGTGTGGGCAGACGCATCCTCCTGTGTCCCCCCCATGGCCTATGCACCGCTTCTGCTCCCTGGAGTGTGGCAAAAAGTCAGACTCATTCCTCCTCACGCACACTCATGGTCAGGTGTGGTCACTGCCGTGTTAGTGCACCCCAGCACTGGAACCATGAAACCTCCACATAGCAGAGTGGGCAAATAGTTCACTGGTGGATGAAAGGAATTACCATACCTATTTACAGCTGAAAAATTAACAGGCCAAAACTTGAAGTGTCAAATGCTTTTTCTCAGTGTTACAGCTGCCTTCCGACTGAGGGGCTTAGCATTTTTTAATATAAAATAAAAATTGCCTGGAACACCGAACATATGCTTCTAGTGAGTTTCTTACTACCTCCCACACACATGTGCCTGGTTTAGTTAGAAGTGCCATTGAATATTTTTGCTGAATGTTCTAACCTCAGTTCCAAGAGAATGAAACCTGAAAAAATATTTACTCTTATTGCAAATAATTGGCACCGTTTTAGGAGTTCACTGTAAATGCAAATCAGAACTCTTTTATGAACCACATTTAAAAAAAAAAAAATAAGCCCCCTTCCAGCAAGACCTGAATGACCCGGTCACTTTAATTTAATTCAGTGTTGCAACTTTGTTACTTTTGTCCAGTCATTGCATATAACTGAAAAATACTTCCTGTACAAATAAAAAGAAAGTTTTCCAGTCCAAAATACTCAAACAGCCCTTAAATTATTTTATCCATCATTGTAACCTAGATTCTGAATGAATGAAACCTGAAAAAATATTTACTCCAATTATGCACAACTAACGCACACTTTTTGGTTGCACTTAGTAGTTGAATGTAAACACACATCTGAAAATGTTTCCTCAACCAGATTTTTGTGGTAAACCACATCAACTCCAATTAATTTTGTAAATAAATATAAATCCTTCAATATGAGTCAACAAACATTCAAAATTATGTTTCCGTTTATAGTAAAAACCCCACAACTTGCAAGTTATTAATTTCTGTAGAGATATACATTACTTCTAGTTAGACCTTGTCAAGGCTGTGTGGAAAAACTGCTTTCAATTTCAACCACCAAGACTGTATTTCCTGTAACATCTCTGAAATTAAACACCAGCCTTTTGGGAAGGTGAAATAGATTTCATACTTGCTTGTGAGATGTGCAGTAAATTCAGGGACTTCCACGTATTCTATTAATATCAGATTGGCTCCTGTGGTTGCTGCCAAAAGGCTTATGGATAAGCCAGTATGGCAATAAGCATTAAGGAAAGCATCTGGAAGAGAGGACACACTCCTTTTCTCTCAATAAGAATACTGAGATCAAAACCCAAAAGTACCTTAAATATGTCAGATGATCTTTGTTACAGATAAAAGTCAACAGATGCATCAGAATGATCAAGAGGTGCCCCAAACAAACCAAGCATTCTGATCCCTCTGGTTATGGTATAATGAAAACTTGAATTTGTAGATACTTGGAGCACTTCAATATTTATCCTCTGAGCAAGGTAATCAGAAAGCTAATCATCTGCTCACAAAGAGCTGTGACTAAAGTGAATAAAGACTTGCAAGGTCTGTCTTGCCAGTGTAGCTCATTCAGTAGGCAGAGCACAGGAAAAACAGTGCAGCAGTACGCAACCACAAGCTGATTGACACCACCTTCTTGGCGGGGAAAATAGCTTTTCCCCCACTTCTTTTATTTTATTATGCAGTAATTCAGTACAAATGCTCACTGCAATCAGACATACTAATTCTTCTTAAAAAGTATTTTGAGATTTAGAACCAGCTTGTTTGTAATTCTAAACTGAAACAGATCTTTAATTTAGTCTTAGTGTCAGATTATGATTTCATTAAAGTCTATAAACAAGGAAACATGTGGTCTGTTGTACAAATAAACATGCCCTGTTGTTCCATTTCTGTCCTACTGGGACAAAATCAGAATAATAATTATGTTATCTTTTGTTAGTGTTGGAAGAATTTTCATCACATCTCCATACCATTTAATTCTACACTGAAACACAAGATATTTTGTAAATGAACAGTCATGAAGGTCACATTCTGTTTTGGTCTGACATTTAGATATGAGATAAAAGGACAGAGTCT